GCTACGCGGTGCGGCGGAGCATCGCGGAGATGCAATGTGTTGCGAGAGAGCGTAGCGGTGCGGTGCTACGCGTTGCGGCGGAGTGTCGCGACAGGGTGCGACGGTGACGCAACACATTGTGGCTGAGAGTCGGGGCATCAGGTTGCGTTGCGCTGCGGTGGAGCGAGGTGTCGTGGCCAAGTGTTGTTTCGGTTGTGCGCGATGACGACACGTTGCGGCGGTGCGTCGGGGCAACATGACGGGTTGTAGTAGTGTATCGCGATGACAAGTTGCGGCAAATCGTTGCGATGAAGCAGTGCATTACATAATTGCGGCGAATAGTTGCAGCAAAGTGTCGCGATAAATTTTTTCGATGAAGCGTCGAGGCGGAGCGAAGCGTTGCGGCGATGCGTCGCGACAACACGTTGGATGGAGCATCGTGGTGGTGTGACATATTTGATGTCCAATGTCACGTAAGAAGGTTACCTTGAAGATAAATCGCCAGTGGCCTTCGACTACGCTGGGGCTATGCATCATAATATTACTTGATGATGTTAATTTGTATGAGAGGAGCCAACGAAAGTCCACTGAGAACTTATTAACCCATCCGAGATTGTTTATGGAGCAATGCTCGCTTATGAACCTGTGTGGAAGGGATCATGTGTAGTCCACTAAGGACTGTTAACCTATCCAGGGTTGTTTACCGGAATCAAAACTCGACGATGTTAACCCATATGAAAGAGGTTAGATCAAATTCCCATGGGATTGATCGTGTTCTGACTAAGATACAACCGAAGTTGTGTATTTCTCGGGTCGAGAGCATGAGATGACTCGTTGATGAGTCATTACACTTTATAAAAGATATTTTTATGTATAGGAAAGTAAGTGAAAAAAAAATATGATACATTAGATTTGACTCGGATTAGACTGACTTTCATATTATTAAGTCCGTCTCTTCGAGTCGATCAGTTTGACTATAAGTTTGCTGAAATTGGAGTTCCGGATGACTTAATCGAAGTTTGAATGTTTCTTGTTCAAAAAATTGCATCGAGATTCGTGCTGGATGATGAAAATTTTCTAGTGACGTATCAGTTGCCCACCTATTTTTGGGCGAGATGAATTTTATCATTCAAAAATATCAAAATTAGAAACACTTCTTTATTTT